AAGGAAAATAAGGAACAAGAAAAAGAAATACTCACTAAAGGAAAGCCTTGATTGAACACTCAATGAGTTGGATATTTGTACTTGAGGGTTGGGAAATTATGCGGAATAGATTTTTGCTGTTGTCTCTTCTACTCAAAAAGATTCCCTCTAGCAATGCTAGGGGTAGCACCAATGGTTAAGCACTCGGCTGAAAGGTTGCCGATTCAAACCCACCCAGAGGCACCTCAGAAGACAAGCCTGGCGATCTGCTTCCAAAAGGTCAGAGCCTTGAAAACTCTATGGAGCAGTTCTACTCTGCACACATGGAGTTGCCATGAGTCAGAATCGATTCAACAGCAAGTAACAAAAACAACAATGGTAGAGAACTATGAGGATCCGTTACATTTCCAGAATTTCTCTTTTTAGGAGAGCATTTTATGGAAGTGGGGGATTAGGGGTTTGTCCAGAAGCTGAGTTGGCATAGCACTTTACGTTGAGAGAGTCAAACGGCCATATCTGAATTGGAATGGCGATGAAGATGACAAACCTGATGGAAATGATACCGTCCCCGGTGCCACAGCTGTTTGGGATAAAGGCACTGAAAAAGGAGAGGAAAAATTCCAGCAAAACCGAACTGGCTTGGCCCCGTGTTATCATAATACTGTAAGCTCAAAATGTCTCGACCCAGTACCCCCAGCAAGGTCATCTCAGAAACAATTGGGCTTCAGCAACATGTCTTACCTGCCTCAGAATGACTAAGGCCTATTTAAACCTCATGGTTGGTTAATCATTAACGAAGATTTTTGACAAACAAAGTAGAGCAAGCCAAGAAATAAGGGTGGCTAAAAATTAGCTCAGGAAAGGTCATATTTCTTGCAAATGCAAGGTTTGCTGTCTCGTTTGATTGGGGGTAGAACGAAGCCCAGAGTGGAGTTGCATGGAAATATAATCCTATTGTGGAAGTCAACGTGTCTCTGAAGATTTTACTTGGGACCCTCGTCCATGGTCACAGTCATCTGGAGGACTATAGGCCTCCATCACTTTTGTGAGAACCCTGCATTCCTGTCCCATGGAGGGTTTACCTAGGGAGAGTGGACACCCTCAGAGGTACTTGCAGGTGCTGTATGACCCAGAGAGGAGGAATGGAAGGTCCCTGAGGCTGGAACCTGGACCTGTAGAAGAAAGAGGCAGGCAGCTCTCAGAGACTTGGCTGCCTCTGCAAACTCTCCCCAGCATGATCAGGGCCAGTGGGCATCACTTGGGGCCAGAAAGGACGCAGGGAAGGAGCTACCCACTAGGGGGAGCTCTCAGATGCACCATGCTGCTGACTGCCAAAGACAAGCCCTCAGCTTCTGCAGCTTAGATAAAGGCAGAGCTCCACTGTCTTCTGAAAGAACTCAAAGTCCTAAGGAGGAAGGATTTAGGGTTCTCTCCACTTGATTATTGGCTCCCAGCTTCCTTGTTACAGGGACCAAATCTCTTCCTTTCACAGTTAACACAGGGCCAGGAACTATGTTTAAGGTGGAACTGGAACAAAGGTTGAGCTTCTTCACACACTATCCTTCTCTTTTGAGGCATCCACATTGAACTTCTTTCAGGTACTTGAATATACCATGTTTTCACTTTCTTTTGGGCCTGAGCACCTCTTGTTCTCTGTTCTCTTTCCTCCTGCTCACCTGCCTAACTCCTACTTATCCTGTAAATCTCTGCTCAGATGCTACTTCCTCCCAAAAGCCTTCTTTCACTCTTTGACTCTTAACCCCCTCTCCAAGCCTGGGTGGGTACACCTCCAGTATCACAGCACTCGCCACACTATCTTATCCTGTCTGGTGGTTTTAGGAGAGCAGACATGGTTGATTTTATTGATCGTTGTCCCCCTAGTGTCTCGCACACAGTTGACACTCAAGAATTTATTGAATAAATGGGTGAACAAAAGAATAAAGATGCTTAAAATGGAAAGGCTTGATGGAATTAATATAGCTATACACATTCACACTACAGTTTAGAAAGCTGGAAAGGAAAAGAGTGTTTCTAGAGGTGCCTGGAATGTACTAGACTTTTTTAGACCAACTCATCTGATCTTCACAATAACTCCATGAGGCCAGGTTATTATCTCTATTTTACCAATTAAGAAACCAGTACTCAAAGATGTGAGGTGTCGTTTTTAAGGTCACACAGCTGGCAAGTAGCAAAGCTGGGGTTCTATCCCTAAGCATTCTGACTGTAAACCTAGCCTTGTTCCACTGGTCCACAGTGCCTGCTCATCGTGGTGTTTGGACAATCACATTCTTTCCAGGTTTGTGGTATGAGGCATTAATAGGAATACCAGGTACTTAGAAAGGGAGGGAGTCCCTGGGTATGCAAGTGGTTAACACGCTCAGCTGCTCAGCGAAGGACTGGAGGTTTGAGTCCACCCAGAGACACCTCAGAAGAAAACCCTGATTTTACTTCTGAAAAATCAGCCATTGAAAACCCTGTGGAGCACAGTTCTACTCTGACATACACAGGGTTGCCATGAGTTGGAATCGACTCAGTGGGAACTGGTTTAGGGGAAAGGGTGAAGACTAATGAGGTAAAGAGGAGGAAGAAAAGGCTGGAGATGCATCTAGTCCAGCAGCTTAGAACTTGGAATTGAAGCAAAATATTTTGTCCCAGTTGTTTTGATCTGTGGACGTTTCCTGTGTCTCATCCTATACTTAAACCTAATTCCACCTTTGACCTTGGGAGGTCAGGGATGGGGGATGTGTCAAGAAGATGCAGGGCAAGGATAAAGTGAGATATCTGTGTCATACCACTTAAAAAAAAAAAAAAAGCTGAAGACATATTTTTTTTTGAAGGGGAGAAGTCATAGTGGCATAATGTCATTTCATCAAAACAGCCATGCCAAAATGTCATTCTTGGTACGTATGTTTTTTTTTAAACCAATTCTAATATAAAAGCTGAGTGCCCAGAAGACTTCACAATAAAGGTAACAACTCTTAATAACTGAGATAATTATCACTTGTATTCTTTTTGGATAGTCAAGTATGCTGATGCCTTCAAAACAGGATCTGGTAAACCAGTAAGATCAACTATACTTAACAAAGCATACCTAGCATACTGCATGTTATGTAACTGCATCCCAGAAATGTTGGACTGTACATAGGATTACCCTTCACAAGAAAAGAAAAATCAGAACAATGTTTTCTAACTGTTCTGCACTGTGGTCATTAATTACTGTTTGACTTTCAACTCAGTAAGTGCTTATGTATGTTATTATGAAACATATTTTTGGAATTAAAAAAAATGGGACACCTAGATGATGAACCAGAAGGGAATATTTGACTTCCTATGATAGTTCTGCAGCCTCCTCCATAATCTTTGCAGCAGCCTTGCAGACAGAATTCCTTATACATTTTTACCGGCCCTACTTACAGCTGCTTTGGCTTTCTGGCTGAGGAGGCATTTTCAGTCATTCAGTTCCCAACCCCTGAGGAAAAAGGCTGCTTATCACAATATGCTGAAAACCACCAGAAAAGAAACAACACTTGTCGAAAAAGGTTTGGCTTTTTACTTGGGCTCTGAAATTGGCCCCTGGCATGACTGATTTTATCCATTTCCAGGGGCAGTGTGGTGTTCGAAAAGAACCTGGGAGCTGGAGTTCGGAGCGCAGGTTTGAGTCCTGGTTCTTACCTGTGTGAGCCTGGCCAGTTACTATCTGGCCCAACTACTTTGCGGGGTTATTGTTAGATCCACCTGAGATTATGGAAGCCAGAACCTTATGAACCACAGAATCATAGCATTTATCCCCACCCAGCACACTAGTTACCTGTTCATTTTATCTGTGTTCTCCCACTAGAATGTAAGTCCATGAGCACAAAATTTTATTGGTTTTGTTCCTGTTTTGGCTGTAGCACCTAGAATGACGTCTGGCACATGTTTTGCATGATTGTTATTTTTTTTTAAACATGGTCAACCTAACTTGGAAAGTGACCCTGGAACTTGAAGGGTGTCTGTACTTTTCTCTTAACAGGAAGGGACCAGCAGATCTTGTTGCCCTTAAAAACACTGCCAGTGATCTGTCATCTTGGGAAGCTTCCCAGCCTGTTTTGCTTCTAAAAAGGCCTTTATCCTTTTAAGAGGAAGCAGGAAGCTAGAACTCCAAGAAACACAGATCCGAAGGCCATTACCCAGGCTCAAGATTAAGAAGGTAAATTCTTAATCTTAGTCTTAATCATTGGCAAAGGCAAGTTACGCAATTTTTAGAAGTAATTCCATTAAGGACCCATCCCTTTCCTTTGAATTCTTTGTTTGGCTTTGCTGATGGATATTATTTGTCTGAAATTATGGGGTGAGCTCTAGAAAAAAAGGGAAGGAAATGTTCTAACCTTGCTATGCACTGTGAAAAGGAGACAGAAGGCTTTGGTTTCAGGTGCAGTGACCAACATCAAGGTCACCCCAGCACTTTCATGAGACCACCAAAGAACTCAAGGTCACATCAACTGCCTTCATTTAGAGTTCTGGGTATAAAGCTCCTGGGAACATAAGAAACAAACTTCAGTACTGAGAGTAGTGACAGACTCAGCTGGATCCTATTCCAATCCAGATGTTAAGTCCTGTTTGAGTTTTGAACCTTTTATCATCTGAGCTAAAGTTTAAGAATACCGATAATTCACAGTTCAACTGTGTACCTCATCTTCAATGGTAATTCCAAACCAGAGACATGACAACAACTTGTCAGTTTCTCCAATTAAAAATACGGAATTAATGAATCCCCTTCATTCTGTAAGGCTTTTCCTAATTTTGATACACAGAAAATCAGTATAAAGAAAACACAGTTTAAAATAAGGTATTCAAATTGCTTTAAAGAATGCTTTATTTACTACATCCTAAGAATGTACTGTAAATGGAGCAAGATCTAAATAAATTTAAAAGCTTTTCAAGTACAAAGCACCTAAAGATAACAACTAAACTAACAGCATGGTTGACAACAGGGAACACTAAAATTTTTTTTTTTATTTTTTTACATTTGTAGTTTGTTCTTAACCCTAAAAAAAAAAAAAAAAGAGTTCACATTTCAAGTTATAAACTTACCTCAGTAGTGTACATGAAATGGTTTTGAAACAACAGGTACAGACAGACCACAGACAGGAGGCTCACTGATACTTAACTGGCGACATCACCAACATTTGTTTTTAAGGTAGTTTGGTAGTTGCCATGTTAAGATACCATTTTTTTTTTTTCCTGCAAATGATTTATAAGCACATGTAAAATACAGTAAGAACGCTGGGTCCGATTCTCATCTAGTGAACTCTGTGATAATCCCTCACTGGAAGGAGGGTACTTCTTTCACACAAAGTCAAGGGATGAGGATCTGATCCAAATTGCATTTTGTTGGATTACTCATTCCAACAGATTTGAGTTTGGATGCAGCTTCTGGGTACACATTAGGAACATTGCACAATTACTTTATGTCATTGAAGAACGATGGAAACAAATGGTAGGAATGTTTAAAGGCCTTACCAGGCACGCAATACATTTTATAGAATAGTTAAATAAATATTGCTTATATATAAAAAAATTCATCCCATCCCAAGAGGAGAGGGGAAAAAAAAAGGGGGGGGGGACATTTGGGAATCTCTTAATTTAAATTTTAAAACAAAAGTAAAATATTTGCTAAGGGCATGATCCTATTATTAATCCACAAATAAGAATTTCAGCTATCAGCAAAAATCCAGTGAGTGGAAAGATTTGATGGATCGCCAACATGACATAAAAATACAACTGTATATTTGCTACCTATTGCACACCTCACTTCCTTGATAGAGCCTTTAAAAAAACATTTCCAAGATGATGTATTTCATAAAGTAGATGGCAATCTTAATAGTTTACTGTATTTTACACTCACTCTGCTAAACAAAAGCCTTTAAACAGGCCACAAAACACTGCAACATACATTTACTTCCTAATAAAACAAACCTTTTTAATAACATTGAAATAAAATGGTTTCATTTTTGCATTCGACTACATACCATCAACTTCTGTGACATAAAACGACTTTAAAAACTGCGTATTAGAAGATATTTACAAACTCTCTTTTAACTCCTGCAGGACTCTCCTACTCCCCCTGGGTGTGCACAGCTGAATCAGCTCACCTGTCAGGTGCACAGCAACGGAGGAAAGCCCTGCTCAATAAACATAATGTTTCCAACACCCCTAACAACCACAGACATTTTGCATGAAACATGATAAGGCAACTAGAAGCATAGCTTTCTGCTGGCAAGAGTCTTTAGGGGGGTCTTCTCTACAATAACATACATTCTCTGTCCCTACAACTCATACTTCAAAATAAAATAAACACATTAGAAAGGAAACTAAAGTTTTCCATAGACAATTAAATAGCTATGCAAAGATGTCTTATGCAAACTATTCAAACCTTGTGCTTCCACATACTCTGCTATTGACAATAGCATGCATAGAAGATGATACCTCCCCAGCCAACAAACAATGAAACAAAAATCAAAAAACCCCAACAAAAACCCAGGAAGAAGTATAAAAGCCATCTTTTTTTTTTTTTTTCCTGTCTTCTCTGTCAGAGTAATTCATTTGTCCTAGACTTGCCAAATATCAGAGTTGGATTGAGGGTTGTGGGGAGGGGGGAGCAAAGCCATACGGAGGATGAGCAGGGCCCAGGGTAATGGTGGCAGGTAAGAGCTTTCCAGTTTTTGAACTCAGAAGTCTGACAAGTCTTTTTAATCCTGGGCTTAAAGAGAGATTGAGTGTGTTTAATTTCTTTTAAAAAACAGAACCATCACGGATAACACATGACAGTAACAACATCAACCCTTAATGCCAGCAGAAATGCAGAGGTTTTACTCATTTTAAAATTGCACTTTCCAGTATAACTTTTAAAATAACTTTTTTTATGTAGTAGTTTTAAAGCACTATTGTTTGTATCTTTAAATATTGAATATATTTTTCAAAACAGTTCCCTAGCTGCTTGACTGTGCTTTTTAATATAAAGTTGATATATTATTGAAGGTACTACAAAATAGAAATCTCTGGAGTGCAGAAGTTAAGAAAATAACCTTCATACTGAAAATATATCCTTAAAAAAACCCAAAAACCTCTATACAAACATACTACAGTATACAAATTTTTAAGAGATGGTATTAAGGCACGCACCATGCAAGTCTCTCAGAAATGTATGAACACAGGTTGCTAACTTTAAAATAGTCTTAAAAAAACTAGTGAAAACTTCATGTATATAAAATATTTCAGTATGATATCTGATAACATTCTTCACTTTCAGTAGGTTTCGTATGTGTGGTAATCCAACATGGTCTTTCTTCATAAATAGTAAAGCGTTCCTTCAGTGGTATCTTTGTGGCTTGTCTTCGCTTTTGTCACCCGTCTCAGTATGTCTGGTAGACATCATGAATGGGAACCTGAATAGCAGCAGCAGGGAAGGCCTGAGGTATATAGCCTGCATATCCTCCATAGACAGCAGCGGTGGCTGCCGTGTTCTTCTGTAGTGTGGCGATCGTGGCTGTGGCCGGAGCAGCAGCAAATGGGACGTAACTGGCACCGTAGATCCCGGCAGTGGGAATTCTCTGAATGTTTGGAGCCACCGTGTATACTGGAGTTATTGGGCGACCCTGAAGAAAGAGAAAGAGAAAGACTCTTACTGAAGGCATCTATGTGCCCATCCCGTTTAGCCGTCCATTCAACAAGCGTCTTGCAGGGGATGGGAGCACAAAGATGTAAAAGCTAAAGTTTCCATTGTCAAGAGACAGATAGGGCAGCAAATAACAATTATCGTAAAGTAAGGGTATGTTGTTGCTGTTAGCTGCCTCGTGGCAATCCCATGCACAATGGAATGATCCGCTGTGGATCAGACTGTCGTGATTCATAGGGTTTTCACTGACTCATTTTCACAAGTGGCTTCCCAGGCCTTTCTTCCTAGTCCAGTCTTAGCCTGGAAGCTATGCTGAAACCTTTTCAGCATCATAGCAACACGTAAACCACCAATGATATGGCTGCGCATGAGGTACATTGCCTGGGAATTGAACCCCGGTCTCCACATGGAAGGAGAGAATTCTACCACTGAACCACCAATGTCTCCAAAGGAGCGGGATACGACCCATTAAAGGAGTAAGATAGAGTTATATTCTCAAGGCACTTAACTCATTCAAATCCAATTATACGACCTTGGTGAAAGTGAGAACTGGAACACCGAGAGAACATTTACATACTCTGGAATCTTTTACCCAGCACTGCACTCAATGAGCATATGCCCCAGAATGAGCTAGAGAAGGGAGTTGAGAATCTACCTTTCAGTTGATCTCAGAGTGATAAACACAGCCCGTAAATACATGCCAGCTGCTCCATTCATACTTTGTTGAAGGAACTAGAGAGGAAAATAGATTGTGCTAACTTAATGGAACAAAGTATATCCGTCTACAGAGGGACAGTTTCATAAACGGTTTTCTGACCATACACGATTTTCTGCCAATGTCACAGTTTCAATCATCTCCCACCTAAGATAAGGCACCACTATACAAAAAAATTGTTGTGGAAGCTTAGAGAAGGAACCAACTAACTTGGAGAGTTAGAAAAAGCATCTCAAAAGTGGGGGCGTTCGAGCTGGGTTTTGAAGGATGAGGAGGAGTTTTCCAAATGAGGAGGTGGGGAAGGACAAGCTAAGTAAAGCACACACTCAGACTACTGCCTCACTGTAGATGGCCAACAATGGCTCTCCCTGCTACTTCCTCCTCTGTTCTTGAAACTGTAAGATTCTATGTTTTCCGAACAAATAGGTGGAGGAGGAGGAAGACTATGGTTTAGTATTTCCCAAAATGTTTGCCATGGAGCAAGTTCAGTGAGCTACTGCATGGGAAAGGAGATTTCCAGTAAACTAAAACATACATTTAACAAACTATCCAGTGCACCTTATATTCTACAGAATGCCCTGCAGTAAACACTACTATGGTTTCTATATCTTAACGAATTTTCAAAATATACAATTCAAGATCTATAAATGCAGAATTAGACTGAAATAATTAATTCTTCCTGGACTTTAAATAAAGAGATTAGTTACCATTCCTCATACAAAATCTGCAAATCAAAGAGTCACAAAACTATGTTCAAAGGCATGAACCTTATAATCTAAGAGTACTATCTTCAACTATAATCAAAATGATATACTACTACTAACTAACAATAACTAATCGTAACTGAGAGATTACTGTCTGCCAGGCACTATTCTAAGTGCTTATTTGTATGACATTATTGAATCAACAACCATGACTACATGCAGAGGTTCGCATGGGTAAAATGACATGCTCAAGGTGACACAGCTTTTAAGCAATGGAAGCCCACACTTTGACTTTGAAGCCCACACTTTAAGTCCTACATTATCTTGAATATCTCATCAGCAGCCTTTACAACCAAGGAGAGAAGCTTCAGAATTGGGAACACTGTGGCTCATAGCAAGACACAAGCAATCTTTTCCAAGTATATAACCCACTGCCACTGAGATGATTCCAACTCATGGCAATCCCATGGGCTACAGAGTAGAACTGCTCCATAGGGTTTTTTTTTTGGCTGTAATCTTTACAAAAGCAGACTACCAGGCCTTTCTTCCATAGCACCACTGGGTGGGTCTGAACTGCCAAACTTTAGGTTAATAGTTGAGTACAAACCCCCTGCACCACCCAGGGACCACCTCCAAGTGTAGGGACATATGTAATTATGCAATATTATTACATAGCAGTAATTGCACGAAGGGAGGAAATCACAGGAAGGTGACATCTGACAGCAGGCTACTCATTCTGATAGAGTTCAGCATCAAGTTATGCACATAAAAGTGTTCTGGCCAACAGCTTGGGGCAGGTGAATGACAGAATAGAGACAGAAGCACTAAGAGTTCTGGGTGCCCTCAAGAGTTGGCTTAACCTATACATATGACTTTAGTGGTATAAACACTAAATTAAGAAAGACACCTTTACCACTGTGTCCCCAGCACAGTACCAAGAACAAGAACCTACTGACACTCAGTAAGTTAACAGTTGAGTAAATGAGTGACTCTGCCCCAAGCTATGTGTAGGTAATTTATAACAGACTTAAGACACGATGAAGACCCCAAGAATCAATCAGGCAAAAACAAGTACTGTTTGAGCATCTCTCTACCATGGGCAAGGAGCTCTGGTGGTGCAAAGGTTAAGCACTAGGCTGCTAACTGAAAAGTTGGAGATCTGAACCCACCCAGCCGCTCTCCGAGAGAAAGACCTGGTGATCTGCTTCCATAAAGATTACAGCCTTGGAAACCCTATAGGGCAGTTCTACTTTGCCACATGGGGTGGCTGTGAGTCTGAATCCACTGGACGGCACCCAAAAATAACTACCATGAGCTGTAATTTATAAAGATGAAGGTGGTTTCTGGCTAAGCTATATGGCAATCCCCACTGGCCAGCTACCCACCACCTATACTCCAATCTTCCAACAAGTGTGAGCAATCTGTGCCTCTGCTATTGGTCAGGGTGTCACAAGGAAGGACTGCACAAAGGTAGGGAATGAGAAATGCCTCTGTCTTCACTCACTGGTGGGCAGTGTGTGGATATATGAATTCCCATGTATGTACATTTATGTATTCCACGAATCTTTACTGAACACCTACAGTGGGCAAGGCGCCCTGTAGTGGTCATGGACAAACACCAGACATGATCCTGCCTACTTTCAGCAACCAGGGTAACATCCTATCAAAGCTCACTGCTTCCAATTTTAGTTACACAATATAGCGTAAGGGGAGCTCTAATTCTTCTTGCCCACCAAATGATTTAAAGTGAGAGTAAACGAAACTCAAGTATGGCAGCCAGAACGATTTTTAATAATTTCCATGTACCTAGAGAAACCTTTAATACATATTTTAAGTCTCTTAATAGATAGTTGTACTAATCACATGCCAAGTGACAGCCCTGGTGGCGCAGTGGTTAAGAGCTCAGCTGCTAACCAAAGGCCAGCAGTTCGAATCCACCAGCTGCTCCTTGGAAACCCTATCTATGGGGCACCTCTATTTTGTCCTACAGGGTCACTATGAGTCAGGATCAACTTGATGGTAATGGGTTTGGTTTTTTTTTTTTTTTTTTTTTTGGTTTTATGTATCTACAGGGCAAACCATACCTTGATTATTTCTGTGAAGAGAGATGGGCTGGTATAGACACATGGTCTGGAACAGAAACGTGAAGAACTCTAAAGGAGACGCGTCAGAGTTGAATAGTTTGTTTTTGTGTTTGCTTGTTTTGCTTTTTTGCCCAAGTTAAGTTTTCCTTAAAGCCCCTGGGGTTGTGGTAGTGAGACTGGGGCCTCAAACAAACTGCCTTGTTACCTGATGTTTTTCTTTTTTTTAAACCCTTGTAATCTATGGAAACAGGTCTAGCTGGGGTGCTCTGGCAGTGAATTTTCCTCCACTGAGAAGGCAGCACCCGAAGAGAAGGCCTGACAGGAAAAGGAAGAGGTCAGCAGTGTTTGCAAGTGGCACCAAAGAGCATTTAGGGATCTCCCCTGCCTGCCTAACTTTTCTGAGAAAATCATTTCAGAGCCCAGAGAGTGGAGCTGACAGAAATCCTTTTCAGGGCAGCGAGAACGACAAGGCTAAAACTCCACTCTGCCAACCTGAAATCAAGAGCTGGTCACCAAACCCACAGTTTCTCTTTTTGCCCCCTACTGATGTCCCTTTTACAGATGATATTCATTATGATACAAGGACAGCGAATAGATTAGGCTTTGTCAAAGTCAGGAGACCTGGCTTCAATCCCAATTCTGCCACTGGTCAGCCATGTGGCTCTAGGCAACTCGGTCACCACTCTGAACTTTAGTTTTCTTATCTGTGAAATGAGAATGTATGTGAAAGCACTTTTGTAAAGAGCCAAGTGCATAACAGTTGCATTAATACGGCCTCAGCCTCATCAAAAAGAAGAGCCATTTCTGTTTATGGTGATAGAAAATCTGGAAACAGATACTGGTGATGGTTGCACGACACAATTGATGTAATTGGTGCCACTGAGCTGTACACGTGAAAGATGTTGAACTGGCAAATGTTGTGTCTTTATTTTTACAACAGTTAAGAAAAAAAAAAAAAGCATTGCTACCTACAAAAAGGAAATTCAAGTTTTAAAAAAAAGATATAGACAAATGCAGTGGTAGTGGTGGGAGAAACACTTACTAATCCATTTGACGTCTTTTATAATATGCCAAATTTCAGGTAGGAAATTGAAGCTATGGGTTAAAATGGGATTGGAGCTGGTCTGTGAATTTCACTTCCTCCTGCAATCCCTGATTTTTGTGAGCATTGAAGCTTATAAGTAATATTAGTAACAACTCCATACCAATCACCTTTCTCCCGTATTTGTTTCATGAAATCTGTTTTGGTTGTCACTTCTCATCCCTCTAATTTTCCTAAGATTCCTTTTGTACAGGCCTAAGTAACTATGCCTTTGCCCCAAGTAACATTCCCAGGCAGGGCCAGCACCTGATAACAAACTAGGGAAACACAAAACTCAGGAAACTCAGATTGCAGTCCTGGCTGTATTCACAAGGTATGTGACCTTGGACAAGTAGCACATCCTGGGACCGTGGGGGGAGGACTTCAGTCTTCCCATCTGTCAAAGAGGAATGAACGGTAATACTTGCTGTACGTATACCACAAGGATGGGTGAGGATGATCGAAAGTGTTACCCAGGTAGGTTCTAGAGGCCATCCTGGAAGATCAGTTTTCAGTGTGGCTCTCACTCAGAAAGGTGTTCCACTCACCAATCGGCACTGCTTAAGATGCTCCTTCCTCTGCTACAATCTGGCAGAGAATACAAAGGGGGCAGAGGGCTGAACAAGTCAGACAGCCCAGGCCGAAGAACTCAGAGGCAGGACACAGAGTAATTAGATTTGAGGGAGAGCACCCAGCCCACATATACTCAGAGAAGCCATTCTCAGGTTAAAAAGTAAGTAGCTTCAGGTGTTCTGCAGAATCTCCAAGGAAATCAACTGATAATGGTTATGCTTGGAGCAAATTCACAATGATAAGACTGTGGACAAGGGCCCTGAATGGCAACATCTGGTGCAGACTGAAATGAGACAGGCATAGCCTGGGACTCAGAAGATGACTATGGGGCCTGGAATTTGGACCTGACCAGAACCGAAACCAAACACCAGAGACAAAAGTTCACTAGTGTCTCAGTAAAGAGGAACTGGAAATTATTACCAGAATTCTACCAAGTATCGCTTGTAAGTTAATGTAGACATTTATACTCTAGGCAACAAGGAATAACCTCACTTGGTTGTCATTTGACAGTGTTTAAGTCATGTATAACTTTTTTTTTTGTCTTAAAGAATACTTGATGACACATTGATATATGAATAAATTTCAACCGGTTTAGTCCTCTCTCAATAATGCAGCTAAGACTCGGCTGGGCAAAAGCAGATCAACAGCATCTGCTGCAGTGGTTCACAAGCCTGGCTCTGTCTCACAATCACTGTAAAACTATGATTCTAGCCCAGAGCTACTGAATTGGAATCTTTAAGGGTTAGAGTCTACGAATCTCTGTTTTTAAACATGTTCCCTGGATAATTTTTATCCAATTAGATAAGAAACCCTGGGCGCCTCAGTATTTGTGATTGGTGATTGATATACTGTTTGTGATTCACTGCCTGACAGAAAATAGCTCTATCAGGATTTTTTTCCTTTTGGATGAATGACAACAGCATTTATACGTACTCCCTATGTACAATATGCAAGGAGCCCTGGTGGGGCAGTAGTTAGGTGTTTGGCTGCTAATCCACAGTTCAAATCCACCAGCCACTCTGAGGAAGAAAGATGTGTCAGTCCTTTTCCATAAAGATTTATGGGACAGTTCTACTCTGTCCTATGGGGTCGCTATCAGTTGAAATTGACTTGATGGCAACAGGTTGGGTTTGGGTCTTATGAACCATATGCACTTAAGAGACAAATAAATATAAGGGATAACCCTTCGTCTGGAGGAGCTCAGTTTTAATTGGGGAGATAGAATATAAGAGCAGTCATATGCCAAGTAATACTACAGGTAATGAGAAACACAGAAGAGATGATTTCCCCAGGCATTGGGGGATGGTAAAGATTCTAGAGATGAGACTGAAGAAACTGCAGATAAACAGCAGAACATTATGAGGAAAGGTGGGGAAGGAGGCTGGAATGAAGACTGGCTTGGGAGGAGATAAGAGAACAGTGGGAGGTATGGCTGAAGGAAATGATTAAGGACAGATATAGAAAAGTTTTATATATCTATATATATTGATACAGATATCTTTTTCTATGTGTATATACATACACACATACACATGTAGATACATATGTATATATGGAGGGGCAGAGATGCTTTAAAAATATCCTAATAGATCTACAATTGGAATACAAAATATCTCCCTGGATTTTGTGTGTCAGTCCTTAACAGTAAAAAATATATTTAAAAAACACAAAACTATTGCCGTCCAGTTGATTCTGACTCACAGCAACCCCATGTGCTACAGAGTAAAACTGCTCCATAGACTTTTCTTGGCTGTGATCTTTACCGAGGCAGATCGCCAGGCCTTTCTTCCAAGGCTTTGCTGGGTGGGTTTGAACCACCAACCTTTCAGTTATTAGCTGAGCACAAACCATTTGTGCCAGCCAGGGACCTCTAACAATAAGACCATGATCCAGTATCATAAAAAAAAATGGTATGAATAATATGACACTGTGAAAAATTATAGGCTATTTTTGCATATTACTTCCCATCATTAATACAGTGACAGTATTAGAAAACTTTCTGTCACCCACCCCATATTTTTTTTCTTCCCCCACCCTACAGTTCTTAGAAAGGGCTACGCACACAGTAAATTCTCAGTGCTAAACAGTAAATGAATCCACGCTAGAGAGAGGCTTCACACACCAATTACAATGTCTGCAGCAAGAGCCTTACCTGGAAAGGTGGAGGCGTTGACCCAGTGGGAATGATGGCAGCAGCAGCGGCGGCAGCAGCAGCGGCGGCGGCACTGGCTGGGTCTGGCTGCACAGCGATGGGGCTGATCATGTGCTCCATTGTGTGGATTTTGCCATCTTCAATCATTTTAGGAGCTGTAGTGGCCTGAAACATGGGATACTGGGCCCCAATGGCAGGGATGGCCACTGCAAGAGAAGCAAGAGGGAAAAAGTCAGGTCAGCCACAAAGGAAGATCATCACTTCCTCTATATTTTTAAAAACCAAGTTTAACAGTCATGTGCCTCTCCATGCTAACAAATGCTCTCTCAGTACAAGCCATGTAACGAGGTGCTACCCAACAGGAGGGGAGAGGAGGAAGCAGGGAACTCCTCATGTCTGTCTTTCAAAAGTAACCAGCTGGGTATGGAGTCTCCCAATAGAGCACCATTGAAGGCTCTAATGTTAAGTTTCTGCCATCTTTTCTATACCAACATTTTCTACTATTTCTACAGAAAAATCTTTCTGAATCTTACTCTTGATGTTCTACAGTTCGAGAAAGGGCCTTCTAGACTCTTGAGAAAATAGCCTCAGTACAAGAGGTGAGATAAGAGGCTTGAGCAGGAGCAGATTATCCAATATGCAAGGTAAACACGTTGCTTACCTTGCTTACCTGATCATCTGTAGTGAGCAATTTCACATTTTTTTCACCACATCAAAGATTCTGCTTCTAGGATGGCTGGCACCTGTCTCTCTCCCAACCCCACAGCACCTTCCTACAGAATCAAAGCCTCTTTTCAAATTTACAATCCTTGGCAGGGATGGATTCCCCAGCAAGCAAGGTAAGCACGGGCTTATAGATTTAGTAAGTAAGCACAAGTAGGCCCGTGCTTACCTTGCTTACTAAATCTGTAGTGAACAATAATTGAAAGTCATTGTGTATCACACCTGTTACTGCTGAGTCGATTCCAGCTCATAGTGACCCCATAGGACAGAGTAGCACAGCCCCATATGGTTTCCAAAGCTGTAAATCTTTTTTTTGAAATATACAACTTAGTTTTATTTGAACAGCACCTGTTAGACACTTTGACAGACATGTTATTTTATTACTCTACTTAATGACTTGTTTTTCGCTCAGTGGTGGAGCCAAGGCTATAAATCTTGACGTAAGGAGACTGCCACATTTTTCTCCCAAGGAGCAGCTGGTGGGTTCAGACCACCAATCCTTCGGTTAGCAGTCAAGTGCTTTAACCACTGCACCACAAGACTCCTTCAATGTACCACAGAGAAAGATAAAAAGCAAGATACTAGCCCTGATTTGGGAGACTGCAATCTAGAGTGTGTGAGTGTGTGTGTGTGAGTGTGTGTGTGTGTTGAAAGGATAAGCAAAAATATGAAATACATACACAATGAATTTTTTCAGTTATGTTTCTTCTCTGACCATGGGTATGTTTAACTTCATAAAAACTGACTTGATTTAAGCTAAAGAAACAAATGACTGTAAGCTAAACAATGGGACAGCCATCCAACAGAAAATACCTAAAGCCGTAACCAAATCTTTTATTTGCCTTTCTAAGCATATCTTCCATTGGTCTTTCGTTGACAGATACTTCACTATTGCCTTGGTGCCTCTCCTAAAATACAAAGTTCTAATTTTCTAGATGAATCAAAAGTAGAGGTCAAGGGGACGAGACCCAGAGAGAGTTATGAATTTTAGCTACATAGGTGGTACTAAGTAACTGGATTGTTCTGGCTACCAGCCCATAGGAATTTCTCCCTCAGGCCTCAAGACAGGACTTAACATGGCTGCAGATTTTTTTCTCTAGTTAAACCTTAAGATACTGCAACTTGCCAACAGGAGTTTTTCCCAGCAAGTAGAAGTGTCAAGACTTGTACCTAAGCTGATTTATGGACTTATAGACAGATAAAGAATCACTTTTACATTGCTTATAGTGTCAGTGGCATTCATATGGAAATCCAGTTTAAGGAGTCACTTTAACTGCGGAAAGAACTTCAGAGGCAAAAATATTATCACTGGATTACTTTAAAGGAAGCTGTATTGGGAAAACAAATTTTAGCCCTATGAGGCCAAGGCAAACATATGCTCCAAATGACAGGGTCTTTTAACTCTTTTTTTATCTAGCCAAAGGAGTGTACATTCCTCAACCAGAAGAAAATCAGGGTAGCTGAGCTCTGAGGTGAGAATTTGCTCAAAGAGCTCTTCAATGTACTTTCAGTGAAACCAGGAAGAGGTCTGATGGAGTATCACTCCAACTATCCACTGACCAGATCTTCCATGTGTTTGGATGCATGTGTGGTGTGTGCTGGTACTGAGTTTGTGCCAGACTCATACGTGCAGTTAAATAAAGTTCTTTGCAGCTTAGGATCAGAAGACCTGACTCATATTAGGTGACCAATGGGCACAAACGATGTTGGCAAACTGATTCGTACAGCCTAGTGGTGGAAGCAATGTTCAAGGTCCCTGGCTTGAATTACTTGAGCGTTCCTATCCCCAATCCAGCAAGAAGAGGAAATAAACACTGGAAATTAGAATCGAGGGGATTAGGAGCTACAGCAACTTTCACCGCTGCCTTGTTCCCAGCTATTCTTGTTTGCTAAAATCATGACAAGGGACAAGTGGTGCTTTTTGCTAATGAAGGAGAATCTTCCACCATGATTGCAAAACGGGCAATAAGCTGTACCTCCTGATGTCTGATGGCTGGGTTAGAAATAGGCCTGAGTAAGGAAAAGACACAGAGCAGCGGTGGTGCAAATGGTTAAGTGCTCAGCTGCTAAGGTTTGAACCCAGCAGCAGCTCCACGGGAGAAAGACTGGTGATCTGCTCCCATAAAGATTACAGCCTACAAGACTCTATGGGGAAGTTCTACTTGCATATGAGGTCGCCACGAGTTGCTGGAACCGACTCGACAGCATTCAACCAGGAAAAAGAGTTTTAGCTAATAGAAGAAACAGCCTTATATTCTTCAATTTTCCCCCATCAGCTCAGTCATAGATGGGAAAAAGCTTAACAGTTGGTGACGCCCATATGAAAAACCCACCACTGGAAAGTCTGATGTAAGCATGGTCAGAATTAGACCAACCCCCCTTAAGTTCCAGACAAGACAGTCCAGGTGGCCACTTTCATTTTCTAGTCTCTGGCTGCCTATAAGAAGAGGAACCCATGTGCCCAAGGAAGAGCCCAAGGAAGGCTCAGACTCACGTAGAGAGAGGGCTGGGATTCAGGCTGGATAGATGCATCCTCATTCTGGTTTATACTGACCTGCACCAGGTTTAATGGCAACGGGATTGACAGCAGAGAGTTCCAAATTTGGTACAAGCTCATATCCTTTTTCTTGCTGCTTTCCTTTCCCTTCATGATATCGGCTATAGATACCACGGCCAGCAGAATATCCCCCGAGGTAAGAACCCCTCGGCCCTGGGGCTCTGTTGCCAGCTGCGCCTCGCCCTCGGCCTCTTATGCTGCCTGCTTGTAATAACAACACAAAAAATGATGAGCGACCAATAATGACAGTACAGGCGGCAAAGCTTAACCCAAGGTTCTTGGCATTCAGTGGTTTGCCTGAGTCTTAAGTTGCAGGTGGCTATACTTTTGCTCTTCAATGAGCTTGTAAAGGTACCTCATCTGCTTAGTGCAAATGGTGAACTTCCAGGAAAAATCCCCATCATTGTAAGTGCAACTTCAGCAGAGAAAAACATTCATAGATTACACAAAAGTAAGATCTGGAAGGGGGATCTGCTAATTCGCCTTCCTCATTTTATGCTTGAGGAAACGTACCCAAGGTGAAAGTGACTCCACTAAAGTCACAGTGCCAGAACCCAGCACCTTAAGTATCTTGGTTTTCACTGTAATGCTCTGTATCATTATATCCTAGTCAATGATTTTCTAAAAACAAAACAAAACACTGTCCCCAACCCCTAATATTTTTAAAGACTTAATTTCACAAGCATGCTTTAACCAAAGTACCACGAAATTAGCGGGCTAGCCCCAAATCACGCAAGGAAAAAAAAAAGGCAAGAAGAGCTTGCATACTCCCACGATTTTACTGCTCAACCCATAGAAAGGAATGATCTGTATTTCTCTCAGTGCCACCAAGGTGGACGCCTTAAGTGACAGCAAAGAACAGAACCCAGAACCGAAACCCAAAAGAAAAGGGGTTCAGTGTCTGTTTAGTAAACTGAAGCCAGGACACCTCTGGGGCTGCCTGCTTAGTAGACCGAGCTTCTGGAGACCTACCCGAGCGCAGAGCCCCACTAACCTTTCACGAAGTACTCCCTGTTGGGCCCAATGAGTGCATTGTAGGGGTAGCCGTAGTAGGCCAGCGTGTAGGGGTCACAGGAATACACGTAGCTGGGCTGCTGCGTTGCCGCCTCGGCCCCGCCGCCGCCCTTGGCTGCCTTCTGGTAGCGAGAGTACTGCTCCTTGTCCACGGGCTTGGCCAAGGTCACCTCGAGACACGAGCCCTCCAGCTCGGTGCCGTTGAGGTTGTTCATGGCGTGCACGGCGTCCTCGCGGCTGGTGAAGTGCACGAAGGCGTAGTCGCGGATCTTCTTGACGCGCTCCACGCAGCCCGGGTTGAACTGGCCAAAGCTCTTCTTGATAGTGTCCTCGGTGGTCTCGATCATCAGGTTGCGCACGTAGAGGATCTTCACCGTCTCCATCACGTCCTCGTCCACGTCGATCTCAGGCTCGGCCCAGTCCACGGCGATCTGGTGTCCCCATAGCTGGATGCGGCCAGGCATGAGTTTGCGGCGCGCCATGGCAGCAGCCCGGTGGCTCTCGTACTCCACAAAAGCGAAACCGCGGTTCTTCATCTTGTCGGCTGCGCTGGCGTAGACGATCACGTCGAGCACGCCCTCGGTGACCTTGGCGATCTCTTCCAGGATTTCCTCGCGCTTCTTCATCTTGGGGATGCCGCCGATGAAGAGGCGGCAGTTGTCAACGCTGCAGCACACGCCAAGCAGGCGTCCCGGGCGGATCTCGTAGTTGTTGAGCTCGCGCACAGCGCGCTTAGCCTCGTGCTTGTGGCAGTACATGACGAAGGCGTAGCCGCGGTTCTTGCCATCGAAGTCCATCATGAGGCGCAGCTCGTAGATGCGGCCCACGGCCTCGAACACCGGCACCAGCTCGTCCTCGTACACGTCACGCGGGATCTTGCCCACGAAGACCTCGCAGCCGCGCTGCGGGTGCGGCCCGTCCCAGCCAGGCGGCGGGCCGCCATACTTGCGCTGCCCGTTCTCCTGCACCATGCTGTAGCCCGTGCGCTCCATCAGCGCCAGCAGCGCCGCCTCGTTGGGTGCCCCGGCCACGCCCTCGGGCACCTTGGCCGAGGATATGGTGGAGTCGCTGCTCATGGCTGCGGTGGAATCCTCTGCGGTCATAATGTCAAAGGCATCCAGGGCGTGCGGAAACCTGCGGGAAGAAGGGAAGGCAGCGGTGAGTTTGAGAGCTGCGCCGAGGTGAGTCAGAACTGGATTGCTGGTTCTTTGTAAAAGTCACAAGTCGTGTTTATAATAGGCCATCAGGTGGCTGACATGAGAAATACGATAGAGACTTGCTCTGGAAATGCAGAAGCTCTAAAAGAGTCAGGTTGCTTTACAGGAAAACCCAGAAGTGACTCGGAAAAAAAAAATCAGAGTGAGCAAGTACTTCCGCTTAATCAGTACCCCCGACAGCTTTGAAGACCTCGTGTTCTTGCAGCAAATGGCAACATCTTTTGCTTAATTCCTGCACTGTAAACTCAGATTAATT